AAACCACGTGAGGGGAACTGTGCAGTAAAAAAAGTACTCACCTTCAAATCCAGCATTGCACATGAATTCCAAACCAATGAATGTACGGGTGTAGTCGAAAGCTGAATTGAAATGATAGTAGCTTATGGGAGGTAAAACAGTCGAAAATGTAATCCATGAGACAAAAACGCCTGGGTAGAGGTTTCCCATCGAACTTTCCAATATTGGGTGGACACGCAATGGACACAAGCAGCGTAGCGCTCAAGATTCGACGCTGCGCTCATACAGTATCCGAATAAACAGCAAAGCAGCAAAAGCTTTTGGATCTGCGTGGTAGGGTAAATAGTATCACTTCTTTCACCAGCTTTCTGTATCACCTGACTGAGTGAAAATCTCTGCCCCCTCCTAATCCTGAAGTTTACAGTTCATGCTTCCATTGTGTGATCTCCTCAAAAGCTTTTTTTGTTAGGCGATTGCAGTTCACTGAACATGATGTGTCAATTGAATCTGAGATGCTATTCGGCTTGGGAGGGGTATTTTACCTCCACTAATTCCCCTTGTGAGTTGACGTTAAATAACAGGTCTAACTTTGGTGGATCTGTCAGCTCTTGTAAAATTGTACAAGTGAACCGCTCATTGCGAGCAGTAAGAGATCGCAGGTCTTCAAGGCAGTTTTGCTGGGCCGTCACCAAACCGACTGCGCCAAATTTGATAACACCTTACTTACTATCGCCTTTTATCACCTCTTAGTATTGCTCTACTGCATCATTCTGCTTCATTTCACTTCCCATTTCTTCCACTTTAGTTCCAAAGCCCCTCCCCCGTTTCCTTGGAAAAAGTTTCTCAGCTGCGATACACCCTCCTGCTGTCGTCCCTTCTATAACCTTCCCTTATTGACTTTGATCCCTTTTTATACCTTCTGTCACCTATAGACATTTTCGGGGCAGTTTGTCGACGGGGGCATTTCGAACTAAACTCACCATTTGTGAAGTCTGGATCACTGGTATCGAGTATGTTGAACAGATTCATGCATGCATAGTATGAGGTTCCCAGGCACTGATAAAATTGCGTTCGGGAACTGAAATAAAGTTAGCTTGTTAACTCTAATCTAAGTCCAGTCAACAACTATGTCATGGGCGGAGTGCGTAGGTCTGGCACCGCCCATATCGATAAATTTTGACCGAGACACAAGACAACATCACCCTTTACGATGATAACTGCTGTTTTACGCCGCAGTTCGCGTTCCGAAGTTATCACAAGAATGCTGAGTTATGGGCAAAAGTCGTGCCCCAGGCGGGAGTCGAACCCGCACCTCACGCTTTCCGGGCGAGTGCGCTATCCGTTACATCCGTTGAAATTGTAAAGCCTTCGGCCTCGCGTTTCATTGCCGATATCTAACGATTACGGCTGACCGGCTCACCATGTTAAACGTGTGAGTGCTGTAAGGCTACGGCATAAAAGCCGTTAGAGCCGGTGAGAGGGTAAGAGCGAACCCTGGGTGGCGTAACGG